AAGATCTCGAATGTCAACATTACGTACGTATGTACGTACGTACTATTCCGACGGTATAACATACGTCATAGGATCTCTCAATCTATTTTCACGGTGTTACTCATAAAAGGAAAAGATTGGCTGGATCATTCTATAAAGTGATGTTTTTAGACTAGCAAGCTGTGTTTATTTCTGCGACATTAGTCATTTTATCAGAAATTTTTAAAAGGTTTATTATTTAATAATCGTTTGAAACATGTCCAACGGTAAAGATATGAAAAGTAACAATGTAGGGGGCATACACTATTACAACTAAAATTATAATAATTCTGTTACTATTGCTATAACTAATTTTTTTTTTTAAAAAAAAAAAAGATGGCAAACAACCAAAACAGCAATCTACAACGATGCAACAGCATTAACAATCTACAACTAAAGCTCAGCGATGTTAGTGATTGCGTAATTAAAAATCAATCCCAAACGATCTTTTCTTTGCGAACCTTTAGTGTTATGGTCATCATCATCGCTATTATTGTATTGTATTACGAGGTTGGCATGTCAAATATGTCTTCAAGCAAATATCTCATGCCGGCAAGCATTTATTTTTTTTTATGACTCATCATTGTCACAATCATTTGAATCCTTCAGTGTACATCCTAACTTTCATAATTATTGTCATAACAGGCCGTTGACTCGCCCATCTTCAGAAATCTCGTAAAAATCATTAATTTGCTTTCCGGACAACTCTCTGGACTTAGTATTACGGGTATGGTATATAAATTTTAATTTATAAAGTAATATCTGAAATATTGATCATTAAAGCAAAATTTTGACGATCTTATACGTATCAAATTAGCATCATCTGCAATTATAAAATGTAGTTTCACGAGTCGATCTCTTGCCAATAAAGTAAACCGAAACCAACTATTATTTAACGATTCAGCCGAAGTGGTAAAATATCTCAACGAGCTTAGTGATCAAACATTCAAATTAGGTGAAACAGTCGAAAAAATGTATCCTACGGGAGAATCTGCTCTTAGAGAACTTGGGATGGAATTAACTTTTATTATCGAAAAGATTCAACCAGATCAAATTCTCACGCGAAAAAATGAATTATATTTTGAGAAACGTTATAGAAGGATTTTAAATGTTGTCACCAGATTACGAGATCAATTTCAAAAAGTTATTAATGAACTTGATGAGCTTTCTATTATTTATAGTGGAGCGAGGCATCAATTAGAGAATGGAATGAATGACGTAGAGGCTTTTTTCAACAATATTGCTCCGATTTTTGCTCAAATATATGATACTGGACGAATAGCACGTGATCTTGGATATTTGAAACGAATTATAGAAAAAGTTCCTAACACTCGTAATCAGATCAATTATCTTTTATCTGAATTTAATCAGTATCGACAAGTGCTAATTTGGTATTGCGATGAATGGATTCATTTGCAAAGACGAAAGCTGGTTTCTCTTGAAGATATTGAGAATTTGAAGGTAATGGCTCAGGGAACAGATAACGCGGCTGAAATCTTTAAGAAGAAAGTTAATGATAATGTTGATTTAGTAATTTATGCACCTGATCGTTATCAACCACCTTCTTGTAACTGGGAATATTTAAAATGGGTTAGTTTCTAAAATGTTTATAGCTAATTAGTATGAAATTAGTATCGGTTATCAAAACATCTATTATGCTGTATATACGTTTATAAATAATTTTAGTTTTTAATAATGAATTCAAGTTCTTATTTCTTATAATAAAGCTTTCACCTTAGTAACTCTATCAAATTATTGCTAATGTAAATTGTCAGTTATTTATTTAACATTTAAGACGCATATGCATGTTTAAGTCATAGTTTAGAAAATCATTTTTTTATTAAGTGAACGATCTTGACACAAAGACGCACAATAACCACCATATTAGTCAACAAAAAAAATTGGTATTAGCCATAATTTCTGTTGCATCTGTTTTATTCGATAGATTAATCGGCATTAACTAATGTTGACTGTTTGTCAGTTTTGAATATATTCAATCATCTATCTTCCAACTAGTATTTGGGTGGTGTAGGCCTATCCGTTTTGTTACGTTTTAGAAGCATGAT